CAAGTACTTTTCCTCTTCTCCCTAAAACTCTACTCCCGACTTTTACATTACTGACGCAGTGACATCATGACACACGGTCTATGCTACGAAAACAGCTGTGGTCAAACACCCGAAGCCTCCTTATATCCTCTATTTTTATTGGCCATGTTTCATAGCCATAAAGTAGAAAGGATCAAACTGCAGTGCAGTACACTCCTTAGTAGACGATCAGTATCACAGTGGCGCCATAATTGAGGTAATTTGACAAAAGATAGTCGAGCCTTTCTTATCTGTGTAGAGATCTCATCGGTATCTTACCCACGTGGTCTGATCTGAATTCCTAGATGAGCAGGGTTAACGCACTCAACCACTTCACTCCGTATTGTTAAACAGGGGACCACTGAAGACTGATTCTGGAGCAACAGTTTTCATTCGGAGGGCGAGAAACGTATCCCAAACACCCTCAGATTGTCACTCAATGTGTCCAGAAAACTTTGCATCTTGTCAGGGTCTTCACCTAACAGAAATATGTCATCTGCGTACTCTACCAAGGGTTCTCATATGATAAGATCAATCCCTGTGATGTCAGATGATGAAAGGAAGATCCCCATGAGTACGTCTATGATAAAACTGAATAGGGAGAGTGGCCCTCCCTGATAGACCCCATTCAGTGTATGCACCTCATGTGACAACACACCATAGACTCTGACGCGTCCATGGCGGCTCGATTAACGAACATTAAGCGGAGTGATGCATTTGTCCGGCACCCGTTTCATTGGGTGACGCCACCACGAGACTTCTTCATCAATATATTCGAATTCCGCCTTCTGGTCTGAAAATATGATACACGCTGAGTACGGGTATGTGTTTGTATGTGTTTCAAGGGCCGTCGAATAGTGAATGTGTTCGACACACCCACGACTACACCTGAATCTCATTTTCTAGAGTTCCCTGTTCCAGAATTGCATTTAGACACCTAGTGATTATTGAACCCAGAATCTTAGATAATGCGTTTGTCAGTCTGATTCCCCTTCGGTTATCACAACAGGATTTTTTTTTAATGATCGGTGCCATCACTGCTTATTCCAGTCAAGGAAGATTATATCTGATTCTTCTTTAGTAGCCAGCACTTCAGTTAGGTTGACCAGTAATCCTCGACTGGTATTATTAAATACCACCAACACTAGTCCTTTTGGCTCTGCTGCTCTTCATCGCTTCTGGTTCCATACCGCCTTAATAACTTCGACAAGCATTCGAGACCCTATCTCAGTGTTAAATTTAGGATCCAACTGGATAGTGGGCAACGGAATTGCAGCTGGAGGCCGTTCGAACTTTCTTTCATAATGCTCTACCAAATGTTGTAGTCATCTTCACTATTTGGAGGTGAATATCACTGTCCAAATAGGTGCTTCAGAAGAAGCTCCAATTTTCTACTGACCCTCTTTAGAGATTATCATCATTATTTTCCCTTTGGGTTCCCAGTGAAACACAGGGCTTCAATAGCACGCATCCATTACACTCCCTTCTCTCCAGTTTTTTGGACCTCGCTCCACGACTGTCCAGAAGCTTTCATTTCTTCCGCACATGATCTCCTTCATGTCACCCTCAGCTGGGACGCCTAACTCGTCGTTTCCCCCTTGGATTCCAATCGAGGGCCTGGCCTGGTGCGTGATGTCCGCAGTCGGCCTTCTCATTGTATGCTCAATCCATCTCCACTTCCTTTTACATATTTGTTGAGCGATAGGTTCTTGGTTGGTTCGTTGCCCGACTAGAGTTCCTTGTTGCTTATTCCTTCTCGTCATCTGATATTCACTATCGAGCGTAGGCATTCCATTCCATCTGCTTTCGCACATTCCAAGCACTTCCATCCCATACCTCCTCATCTCTTTTGCAATCTGGACAGCCTTGCCAGCCAACTTCAAACATCGTGCGGACATTCCATGTCCCCATTCTTACTTTCGCTTTCATCGAGAGAAGAGAAGATAAATCGGCCGACTGGCTTCTCTAAGGCTTTCACCAACCTGCGTCATTTCCTCCCTCCGATTCCAGCGAGGAATGAATTTGTTTTTATTTTTTATAGTTTCCTTTTTGCTTTTAAGTTTCTGTAGCGATTGTAGATTTAGCGTTCAAGCTGCCAAAGTCCAAACCCTTCACCGAATAGGAAAACAGGCATCTCTTACCAGAACTCAGGAATCTCCAAGCATACATTCAAGCTGTGTCCGTGAGATACGTTAACAGAATCCCAGTGTGGTTAAATTGACCTCACCTAACCGTAACAGATAGTCCTCCAAATTCACCTAACAAGTATCCGGAAATCCAGTGGCTTGGTTTCTCGGACTAGCTGCTGTAGACAGCATTGAGCTGTAGGATGGAAAGTTAGCTTCTCGACGAGATACCGGTCAACAGCCGTCTTTGTGGTGTTCAACTGAATGGATCTGTAAGGACTAGGCAGGATGGTGAGACTAGGCGATGCCTATTCGTAACCTCTGCCTACACACACACCGACTGTAGTTCGGATGATGCAAGGAAAGCTGCCAACTTCGCTACAGATGTAGTCATAATGACAGGTGACTTTAACGCTAAAGTAGAGAAGCTGAGTCAATTGGAAAGGCATCTTGGTGGTATTTAAGGAGTCCCATGCCAACGAACCGACAAGAGTAATTGTCCACTGTAATTTTGCTCACACAATCACCTGCTTTTTGGCTAACACTGACTCTAAACGAAAGGGGAGACACTCTCTCACTTGGTATCAACTGACTTTAAACCAACGATGAACACAGATAGATCACGCTGCTATAGGTCATCGTTGGAGAGGACCGGTGTAGGATTGCTGCTGTTTCCTGAGCACTGTTTTGAACTCTGATCACGCGCTATCATGGGGTCGTGTATGTCTGCGCCTTGCTGGATGCAGGAAAGAGGAGGCGATGAGGCCTATCTGTGGTCGATTGGGAGATGAGGACGCCAAGGAAGCGTTTAGAGAGGAGTTAGCTGAGCATTTATCTGAACGTGACAGCAATCCTCATTCTGCGGAGATCTGGCGTGATATTCAGTCTGTTGCAGAAATACCGTTAAAGATAGTTTTTAACCTACATCGAAAGGTTAACAAACGTCACTGGGTTTCCGCAACATCATCTGAACTGATTGGTATGAGCAGTGATTGCAGCTGGGTGTGACCACGATGAGGAGCGATTGCATCTCAGATTTAACGACAACTAATGGTGTCCGCCACTTATTTTCACTGTCACCGTTCTTTTCAAACTTAGTCATTAACTTCGTAATCCAAATAACCCTATGTACATGTGACTCGATAAGTGTTGATCGACTCTCTGGATGTCATCTGGTTGACTTTAAGTATGTATGCAGTAATGTCCTGCTGGGTGATTGCGCTGACAAAATAAAACTACTTCTCAACGCGTTGAACAGAAGTGTGGCTAGGTTTTTGCATGGGTTTCACACCTGTCAGTTGTAAGGTGATGCTCCAGGACAGTTTGCTGCTATTCCCAGGTTAATGGTAGGGAGGAAGTTGGCGGAATCCGTCAACCACTTCACTTACTTGGGGCGTTGCACCAGTCTAGATGGCGTTCTTTCGGACGACATTTTAGTTTGAATACAGAAGGTCCGTTTGGCACTTGCCTACTTGTGGTGGGGACTGGTGAGATATTGAACTATTTATCAACGGACAAGTAGAATGAGCTGCAGTGCGTTCTCTCTTGTTGTACATTTGCGAATTCGGGCCGTTAAAAATTGATTACATTAAGTGGTTGCGGGGTTTTGTCGCAAGGGACCTAGTACCATTGCTCCCGTCTGGTGGAATCACGATGTGAGCAGTATTGAAGTCAGGTAAAAGGCACTTGGTACGACATGGAAGTGGATTGATGAGGTTGTCAACCTCATTCGACGGAAATGGCTTGAACATGTACTGGGCATCATGAACCAGCGCCTACCTAGAAGTGCCATGCATGTTACTGGAACTTGGTTCCCGTCTTTTCGATGATCCCAACGAAGCAGTCTGCACCTATTCACTTGACTCAGACCAACTAGCAGGGATTTTATCGACTGGTGACACATCTTGATTTGGCTACTCTGGTCATCCCTCCAGACCAATCAAGCATCGACTAACATTGCGATTCGAGTTGGGCTGTTGCTCGACATGCAAAACACATGTCTAAGCCACCTCAGTCGGTGAAGGTTCACAACGGTATCGACTAACTTGGCTTCCTTTCCTTTCACCCTTCGTCTGACCTCGACATTGCTCACACAGTGACTTCAGAGTGTATGATTAGTTCTAGGAAGACATGCGTGCTTGAAAACCTGCAACGTTTTCACGTTTTCTGCTTTCAGAGGTAGTCTTAATGATGGAGTGATAGGTAGTTTGTAGGATGCCTAATACCGATATCACGGAATGAAATTCTGGAGTCAAAAGTTAGAAGAGTTGGTTGTTCGGTTCGTTTTTGCTTACTGATGGAAGCAGGTATGTCGTTAGTGCTTCACGGGTACCTACACCATGGAAGTTGCTTCTGTAAGGAAAAGGAATAGATTTATGTCCCCACACAGCCTATAAGACACATGTTTGAGGATGGTTTTAATCTTCTGTTTTGGGGTTATGGAGGAGAAATTCCTATGGCTAATGGTCAAGTTTACTACCACTCACTGCTTTATTTTCGTTGTCTTGCAGTGGTTGTTTTTTCACTATATGATGAGCAGTCTTGTTGTTTTCGTATACATGTGATAAGGCAAGTAATTATGCATAATATCTATGACTGAAGCTTATCATGACGTTTGGCTTTTTTCGGTGTGCAGTTTTATCTAATAGTCTGGTTTAAAATATTCACGCATATCAAAATGTCATTTGAATCAATATTTTGATTGCAAGTGCAGCGGTTTTTTTCATATTTTCGACGAATAGTGCATTACACTTCAGTTTTAATGTCTACGAACGCAGCATAAATTGTAATGTAAAGCGAAGATTAAAGTTACTATTGTGCGTGTGGCCGAAGCCTTGTGCAATTCAGTCCGACATTATGATCATATTCTATCATAAATGTAATATATACTCGTATTTTGTTATCGTTTTGTCCTATTCTTACTTGATGGGAAGAAAAGTTACTCGTTTAGTAAGTTATTGTGGTTATTTACCCTGACTTAAGTGACTATTTTCGAAGTACAGACATTTTCTGTTGTACCAAGTCTACTGGGAGCTAAAATCCTCACTTTTACGACAAATTGCCATCTCAACTAGATTATGAGACTGCAACTGCTGACCCTGTTCAAACAGCCAATGGACATTCACATACCTCCTATTCATTTAACAGTTGGGTAAACCTAGTTTACTGAAATCGAAATGAGAGCTGGTGAACATCGGGATGTTGTAACCCAGCAAACTAAAGGCTTTTGGTTGGAGTTATGCCACTACTCAGGTTTTCTTAAAACTTCAGTTATTTTTCATAACGTGAACATTGATCATCCAACGAAAGCTGTCTTATACAGACACTTGATTTCGTCCGATTATTTCGGAATGTTTACATAAACTTTGGTTGACTCATTTTAAAGTGACGGAAAGGACTCTATCAAACTGATAGTAACCAGTTATTATTTTGGTATTTTGTTTTCTAATGAGATAAGCAAATATGAAATCTTTTTTTTCTTTCATTTGGAAACAGAAATAGTATGTTAGTAAATATTACTAATTTAATAATCATATTGATTCAAACCATCAAATCTTAACTTGGTTATGATATATATGTGTAACACAAACAGTTATCGTGATTGACAGTCGAAATTTTACGTTTCTTGCACAAGCTATCTGCATTACCATTGGTTTTGAATACAATTTTCTCATTTTTATCTTTTCTGACTGACTAATCACATTCACCTTCGTTATGGATTCAGTTACCCGATAAAGACCGTCTCTCAACCGTATTCATCCAGTTTGTAAGCTCACTGATGAATACTCAGAAACATTGTATAGAATCGTTGAAGTTTTGTTCTTTTTTTTTTAAGTGATTAGCAGATTATGATAGAAATGATATTTTGCTACGTATATATTCTGAAGTATTTCCAAGATTTTGCATATATGATTGTCTGTTATTCTTAATGGCTCTTGTGGTCCAGTGGATAGTGCTTTGGCGTTTGAAGCAGTGGGTACCTGTTTCGAGTCTCAGTGGAAAAAACACCACTCACTGAGGTGCTGGGATAAATCAAAAGATGATACCACTCTATGTGGTTTCTGATTACTGACCTAAGTCGTGTATGAAGGTGGAACCTTTTTGTTTATACTGTTTCTGGTAGTTAGAAGATTTAAGTGATACTGATCAGAATTGGTCGCAGCAGCACGGATGTATTATAATATCTTAGTGTTTGAGCATTTTACTATCCTCAATAGGTTTTAATCTCTTCACTTTTATGTCTGTTTTAACAATAAGATTTCTCATAGACATTTTAATGGTATTTTTTTCTACATTTCTTGCTGTTACTTTCCGTTCATTGTGGTATTTCAAAGCTATTTGAACTGAACACTGAAGTGGAATTATCGCATTATTCACTGTCTGTCTATGAGCATAATTTTTATCTGTAAATTTTCACTCCTCATGATTAACCGGAAGTAGATAGATTAACTAACTACTAAGTTTGTTCAAATTGAAGACCTGCATACATCTTTCAAACACCAATCTTAAAATTCATGATAGTGTATAGATCTAATACAATTTATAAGTGAATATTTGAAGACAGCTTATAGAGCGTATAAAGTTCATAAAATATTATCCTTATATTAAAATTATTGTCCCTTTTATTTAATTTCAACCTTAGGCTTCAAAAATTTGGAATCCTGTGTTTACAAAACAACTGAAAACTGCCCAAAAATTCGCCTACTTTATGGTTTTAGATTTCGAAGCAACTTGTGAACGAGATAAAAAAATTGAAGCTCCTGTAAGTTTTATTTGTTATTTATCTTCATCTTTTCAATTTTATCTGCATTACCAGTAGTAAATATTCATTTAACTTCTCACATAAAAATCTGTTAGTGTTTTGTTTTCAACTAGCATGTCATAACGTTTGCATCCGGAGATAATGGAGAATATTTTTAACTCAAAAGGGTAATTTTAGTATTTTTGTGTTGTCTTTGCTTTGGGAGGCCTAATACAGACTTGTGGTGAAATTCTGTCAGCTTACTTTGTTTTGAAGCTTGCGTTGATTATGTTCCGTTATGAACCGTTAACTCATTCAACTAAAAAAATGCAACACCATCGAAACGATTTGAGTGGTTATTTGCAGCGTTATGTTATCTAGTCAGTATCATTAGCTCATAGATTTGGTCCAAAACATAGACCACTCTCAAGCTCTGTCGTCTTCCTAACTTTCAATACTTATGTCTGTCGTTTAACCGTTGCTATTAATTTGCATTGACGAAATGTTGACCTTTGTGTCTTGAAAACCCATTCCAAACTAAATGGTTACATATTCAATACATTCATGGTCCATCAAATCAAACACCAAGTTTCATTTGCAGTAATCCTAATCATTTGGGTAATAGAGTTTTGCTGAATTTTGGAGACACGTAGAGGAAGTGAGTAGAGTGCTTTTACGTTGCTAAGTTTGATAAGTATTTACACGATCCTCTCTTTCAACATTTCTGAATTTGAAAGCCTGTTGTAGTGGTCGTATAGTACCTGGTTGAAATTATGATAGTTTCAGTCGTAAAAATAACATTTTAATAAACTGTACTATTGAAATGTAGAATTCACCTTACTGAAAGTAATTGAAAGTTGAATTCTTTTTTCTTCAGAATTATTACTAAATGTTAGATACTCTCTAAAATGTAGACGGTCGAAATATTTTTCCTTGATCGGTCCGAGTACAAAACAGCCTATCTAATTCAGTAGTTTCAAAATCCAAAGTAAGTCATAGAACAAAAGACGTTTAGAGAAGACTCGCTTTTTCAACTATATCATTTTTAAGCTGCCAAATCGCATACAAATATTCTATTCATATGGTAACAGAAAAGGAACACTTCATAAAATATCCCCTTTGAACTAAGTTCAGTTTTCATTAAAATCAGGAGAACGTAAGAATTACGTAGTGCTTTAAATAGCAATGGAAAGAAAACTTATCAAGACGTAAGCAGTATTGAGTTACTAAGTTAGATAACGTAATATGGTTAAAGGGACTGGTGGATGTAATGAGATATCAGCAAACATATTGAGAAACCGTTTAGCATACTTATTCAGAAAAACTTCCTATGCTGGCAAACTTTCTCTGCTCACCGGATGTTTCGATTATGCGTAAGGGGTAAGCTAGCTTCATTGGTCACGTTGATTTATGTGTGTCATTTCACTTATTCTTGTAGATTAAGGTATGTGTGTAGTACTCGGTGCTCACTTTTCAAATATATTTACGAAATATTTCAAGTTGCTTTTCATCGTAGACTGACATCAGTTGGAGGAACAAAGGAAACCTGGGAGCACTGAGCAGCTGTTTCGTCCTAGCATGGAACTCCTCGGCAGTACGCATCCACGACCCCGCCAGGGATCGGACCCGCGACCTTTAGGTTTCGTGGTTACCCTGGTTCCACAAAAAACAAAGAACATCTCGCAACTTTATTTCAGAACACTTGATTGATTATCACCATCCGGGAAATGCATAAACAACCTCTGTGTTAGCTATAGAGTTCGTGCAGACCTCGTGAAAGGTGTACGCCTGAAACTTCTTCAGACTGCGGAAGCCATGGCAACTAACATTTTGATGCATGAACTCTGCTTTCAAAGAAATTTGTCTAGTCACTTGAATTGGAATGGACATGGCCTTTAAGAAAGTTTTGCTCACAAAATCTTTTATTTCACTTCTTCTGACACATTACATTCTATCCCTTAAATTTATGATTTCTAGTTATATTCACCAGTCCTTTTAACCACATTACGTCATTTGACTCAATAGCTAAAAACTGCTTCGGTCTTGGTAAGTTTTCTTCTTATTACTATTTCAAACACTACATAATTCTTTTTCCAATCTCCTGATTTATAATCAAAACTGAATTTTACTGCTTTTGCTACTTGTAGTCTGTTGCCATACAGGGTCGAATCACTCGACCTGTTTTGGCAGATAGGCTCCTATACGGATGCTTCGATGCTGCCTGCTCACTCATTATGTGGATGTCTGGTTGGTCACTGGCAGTGAAATCCAGGAAGTGCGTTTCGTCTTATCAAAAACAACAACATTTACCCGTTGCACAAGAGGCGGCTTTCATGCCTCGGTGGCCTAATGGAGAACGCTTTGGTGTTTGAAACGACGGTTATTGGGTTCGGGTCTCAGTGGCAGCAACACCAACTGAAGTGCAGATACATCCAACTGACGAGCCCCGGGTAGGACGAAACGTCGTAGCTCTTGGATTCCACTACTAGCCACCAAGTAAACACTAACAAAAGTAAATTTCGTTGGAAAATATGTTATCAAACACTTTCTGTTACGGTGTGAGGAGAATATTTATATGGGGTTTAGAATGGTATCGCTGAAAAGTGACTGTTTGCTAAACATCTGTTGTTTTTTCTTATTTCACTTTGAATAAATCTGGTTCAGCACACACTAAACTAATATGAATATCATGTGATATAGCAATTATATATATATATATATATATATATATATATATATATATATATATATATATATAAAGTTGACCTAAAAGGTTGAACCTCATTCACCCTATAAGTTTAATGAATGGCTTCTAAAGAGACTCTCTTTGCTGAATTTGAATGATTTCGAAATGGTGTATTGCTACTTTGAGAAATCTGTGTTGTGAATATTTTCATTAACTAAACAACACAAGAGTCGAAAGAATAATAAGTAAATAACTCAGTTTTGAACTGATAGAAGTAGGAAGTGTGGACCATTGGATTCCTACCCAATGACTCAGTGGCAACATGCTGGCATCGGAACCTCTGGCGGTCCTGGATTCGACCCCTGGCTTGGTCATACGTGCAAACTGCTGAAGAGTCTCATACTAAGACCAGACAGCTGTCCAATACTTCCAAGTTTCTAATGCTTTTTCTACTGATGTCAGTCCATAATGAATACCAGCTCGAAATCAATTTCATATTATGGCACAATACATTATGATAATTTCAACTAATTCACCTTTTAGTCAATCAATTAGCACTGGTAATGATGCAGTCGAATAAATCTAAATGTAGACAAACATAATGAAACATGTGATATACATTTTTGAAAAAAATTGTGCGAACAATATACTACTGCCTCCACGAGGCGTTGTTAATATTCCATTATCGTTATTATTGTCTAACTCTTATGAGAAAAAAATATTTCACCGATTTCATAACATTATATTTCTTAGACAATACTAGTCTGGCCACTTAGGTGTTACACTAGCTGAAAAATGGAAAGTGTGAATCTTAAATAAGTGCTACTGGTCGTATTATTTTATTTATCTTAAAAATCATTTTACTTGTAACTTAATTGTTAACATTATTATATAGCTGGAATTAAGAGCTTATGATTGACTCTTCGGTTGTTTCTGTATGACCTATATTTCGAAAATAAGTTCATGTTGAATAAACCCATTGTTATGCATTATCCCATATGGGGTGTTTCGTTTTTATAAATAATGGTGGTTTGTGAGTTACATATTCAGATGGATGAGACAATCTAGATATCGGACAACAAGCATCAGACTTTGTGTTGTGATGTTCTTGGTTAGGAGGGCAGAATTGTGCGATTCAGGGCGACTTTAAAGACCACCCTAGCAACGATCAAAACAGCCAATTAGGCTGATTTTCATAAAATAGAAACGTCTAACTGGTCATTTCAACTGTTGCTAGGATGGCCTTTAAAGATGTCGCTCCCTTTTAAAATCTCATATTTAAAAGATGACAACTTTAGAGTATCGTCACCAATAAAGTCTAAAGTTTCTAGTTTCAAATTTCATGAAGCAGGAAAAATAAAAATACAGCACTAATCGGTTTAGTGGGAATATTCATGTTCGAAATGAAACGAACCCAAAGAAGTTAGTTTTTCATATAACAGAAAACATATTAAAATGTACTTAACCATTTTAACTATGATCATGTATTGTTCAATCGAAAATTCATTTTTCATTCGCATTTATAGACGCAACGGTTACTTTTCTCAAAGTCTTGAATACTCTACCGTTGTACGTCGTTTTGCATAGTTACAAAAGATTAGGAAAGGAATGAACATGAAGGGAAAAACAGGCTCAAAGAGATGAAACTTCGATGTCTTATAGGCAAGTGACAAATCAGAAGAACACAGTGATCTGGAACGTTCCTTCGTCTCCATGTTTTCACTAATCAGTCCACCTATCAAAAACCAACGTTTTTTCAGAACCGCTCTATAAGAGACTAGTGCTTACCTTTTAATCCCTTTTAATAATTAGAAAGTAAATAAAGCAAATAGTCTGATTCATGTAGAAGAAAATATATTTAAAAGTTATTTCAAGTTGGTATTCATCATGGACTGACATCAGTTGGAAAAACATCAGAAATCTGAGAGAACTTGACAGCTGTTTCATCTTAGCATGTAACTTATCAGCAGTGCACATCCATAAAGCAGTCAGGGGTTGAACCAAAGAAAGCCAGATTCTGTGGTCAGCATGTTACCATTGAGCAATTGGCTTAAACCTAGTGGTTCGTATTTCTTATTTATAAATCAGTTGTCATAGGTCAACATCAAGTACAGGAAAAGTAAAGTGCTCACTTTGTCAGTATTTATGCCTGTAAGATCAGGGATGCAAATTCTACTACTACAGATGTTAGTTGGATCGAGGCAATTGGCAGTACTCTATGAACCTAGGTCTTATGCTTTTTGGCACTCGTCACCAAGGCGTATCTGCAATCTCGACGGGACTGATATCCTGGCTGTGAAATGAACCTGCGTCACCCAATGTTGCATTCGCGGAAGTTACAATTGATCTTGAATAGCTTGTGTTTTGATCACTGTTATTTTGAGATGTTGAGTTGCAAGCAATCGGTATTTTTCACCTAATGTTTACGCGGAATATGAAGTTGTAGCTCATCCGTCCATTTAGTCAATTAGTAATATTTATTAGTTATGAGTTTAATCCTATCCTGCCTACCTCAGCTTGGAGAGTCTCAATATCATGTGCGGTTTGTAATCTAGCATATGAAACTGTATCACTTAAATGACTAAACTTCAGTAAATTCTCTTCTAGGAGTTAAACTCGTCCAGTGGCTAGATTGATAAGCTTCAGTTACAATAATAAATGCACATATATCTATCTGTATTGAAGTATATGAATAGAACTTATCGTCAGTTTCGATTCACCTAAACCATTCGTTACCAGAACTTAGTGACCTTGGCACTTAATATCATCCTTCACACTTTAACGAGGCAGATATTTATATTATATTTTCACATATAGATCTTTTTAACAGTTTTATATTAAGATGATTATTATTAATGCTGTGTAGATTATTTTGATACAATTACGTGGTTTGAAAAATCACTTGGTTATATTATCTATCAGGAAATTATCGAGTTCCCTGTTCTCATGGTGAATCCTTCAACCTTTCGAATCGAAGCCAATTTCCATCAGTACGTTAAGCCTACTGTTAATCCACAATTGAGCGATTTCTGTACAGAGGTAACTGAAGTTAAGTTTGTTTTCTTACTCCTTTTTAATTCGTATTTTTGCCTAAATTATCTTTAAATTATAATAAAACCAGCTGATAAAGTTGTTTTTGTTTCTAACACTGAAATGTTCCGATGTTACGCGAATGAGCAAAGTTAATCTTCACCGCTCTCTACTGTCACTAAAATGGAATTTTTCAAGCAAATATGTCGCAGTGCATAACAAGCAAGTCGATTGATGAGGTTGTGAACCTTCGTTGGCTGAGATGGCTTGAACGTGTAATGTGCATGTCGCACCACCGCCTACCTGCCTAGATATGCCATGCTAGGTGAAGGTGGATTAAGTTGGGAGAGGGTTCAGGATGGCCAGACAAAGACCTGGCACCAGTCGATGAAGTCCCTGACTGTTGATCTGAGTTGTGTGGGCGATGTAGACTACCTGGTTGGAGTTACCGAGACGAAAGGAATCAGTGGTTGAGGTGTCTTTGTGACATGGCGCAGATGTGTTTGCTATTGGTTATCTTTTAAAGCTTGAATATTCGCACTAACCGTTGTCTTCTCTTACAAAACTTTGTCTTTTTGATATCACTCGTTTTCTATCCACCTATTCTTTGTATACTACTGTTAAGTGTGGCAACTTGAGCTGATGATGTGCGAGGTTCTATGTTGATTTTGTTATTAATGTGTGTCTGAATCTTTTATGGAAGCATGAATGGTACTTATGAACATGAGAATCTACACATGATATTAATTATGGTATCCTTAATCCATCAACCAATTGACTGCACTGTTACCAAAGGTACATCAATGACATTTTTTATCACAAAAGACGAAAAATATGAATTCAAGGAACTCCTCAAGATTCGTTTCGGTGTTATTTGCTTGGTAATCGCTAGTGGTGGAATACAGCACGTGCGTTTCATCCTGTTGAGAACTCATCAGCTGCATGTATTTGGAAACCAGTGAGTTAGGGTGTTCTCAGTGAGACTTAAACCCAGCACTTTGAATTCCAGTGTTACCAAACAATATAGAAGCATCTATTTAAGGAGCTTATCTGCTAACGGAGACCGATCAGTTCACTCTAGTTTAATAATCAGTGCAAAACTGCAAGCTTCAATAAATTACATCCTCAACACTTTCAATGCTGCTCCTTCATGTTTAAAATTCACTGTAAAATGTTAATCAAATTCAATATTTTCATTCTTGGATGTGGGACTCATAAGGAAATTGAATAATTTCATCTTGAAATCAATGTACATGGAGTGGACAATTTGTAAACTTCCAAAGTCATGTATCTGTCATTGGAAAATAGAACTTTGCACATTAGTTATTCTTAAAGTTTCGAAGGATCTATTCTGTTCTAAGTAAGATCTTGCTGCAGAAGAGTTATCCATTAGACTTGCTCTTTACAATATGAAAAAAAAGCCATAGATACAAAAGTTTTAAACTGTCCCAGAGTAAACCCTTACATGAATGCAGAATTCAGAGGTGAAATTACAGCCAAAAAGCTTGGAAGTCGCTTCTCAAGATCTTTTCATGGAAGACATTCTACATAACTAACTTGAGAATCACTTTCTTCGGTTGCCAAATAGCCTATCGTTGTGTTGAGGGATCGAATACTGCTTTTAACCATCTCGATTGATACCTACTAGATTACTTGCGTCAAGTTTCTAAATGCATTTTGAAACATTGTTCGGGTTGATTATTCAGTAGAAAAGGAAGAGATATCAACAGTTTTATCCCTGAACACCTCGTCATCTTTCGACATTTGATCTCTCCCAGCAGTTCCTTCAAAACATCACATGCACTCATCAGACTTACCATGACCAAAATAGTAATTTCTTTCTGACTTTTATTGTTGAACATTTTAGTAATCACGTATCCCTATTGATCAATAATAGACTTTTATTTGCTTCGGATATTTATGAATGCGATTGTGAAGCTTAAGTAAACAAATTGTTGCGAAATTTGTGGTCTGTTGAGGTTGACAGTATGCCTTGATACTGAGTTTCTACTGTCTTGCTAATCGTTTTTATACAGTATGTCATTATATTATGAGAATATCAGATGTTAGGAAACCTTTGCACATAAAACTCAACTTGGAATTTTCGAAAATGTCAAAGATATGCCTTTCTACTGTTTTTACTGGTTTTAATTTGATGCAAACCTTCATTAGAAATAAAATTATCATCTGCTGGATTTTCGAGAGGGCTGGATGGAGATCAATTAGCTTGGGAACAATTCAACTATAGCTCTGCACGCAGTAATTTTAGGTCACAAAAACGACTTTTACAGTATCAAAGTTATTTAAAAAGGTGGTTTGCGTATACTTTTAATTTCCCGTTGCTATGCTGAGTCGAAATGCTTGACCTCTATTAGTAGATGGGCTCGCATGCGGTAGCCTCGATACTGCCTGGATGATCATTATATAGCAGATGTTTTTGCAGTTCAATCCGCTATTATTATTATTATTATTATTATTATTATTATTATTATTATTATTTGTCCTTTCGGTTCCTAGTGGAACATAAGGCTTTAGTAATATATCTCCATTCCACTCTGTTCTCTGCAATCTTTTGAACCAGGCTCCACCACTGCCCACAAACTTTCATTTCTTCCTCAGACGATCTCCTCCATGTCACCTTCAGCTGGGACGCCCAGCTCGCCGTTTCCATCTGGGTTCCATAACTAAGTAGTACCCTATTAGATTTATTTATTTGATATATAGCTCACAGTGATACAGTATTATTTACTTGATTACGTTTCGAGCATAAATTTCTGCTCATAATCATATCAATGTAATGATTATGTACTATATCCAAATGCTGTGCACTTATCCCTATTCTTTCAATGATCTATCTTTTTTCATCCTAATATCTTACCATCTCTTATAATTTCCAGCGCGGTATCAATTGTGATGACTTGGTTAGGTACATATTTGTAAAAGTTTCTGTTTTGTTCTGTATATCTATTTTGAGCTTACCTTTAGCATATTGAAGATACGTTTTGAAGCTATAAAATTCTGTATTCAGGGCATACAGAAGACTGTCTTTTGTACCTTCTTCGTGACTAAATGTTTTCCTTTGTGCATACTGAAATGATCGATAAACTCTTGAACGGAACGCTAATCTAAGAAGGGTTGCTTGTTGATCTCATGAGTCATTGTTGGCTTGTGAAAGGTGTCATTAATATTACTGCTGAAGTATTTTAGTTGCTTTCCTATTGTCTAGTTTCTTTTTCTCAAAAGCATACAACTATATTTGACCCAACTCACACTGCTTGACTGATCTATATTTTGCGATATGTTGTTCGTCATAACTAAGTAGTACCCTATTAGATTTATTTATTTGATATATAGCTCACAGTGATACAGTATTATTTACTTGATTACGTTTCGAGCATAAATTTCTGCTCATAATCATATCAATGTAATGATTATGAGCAATAATTTATGCTCGAAACGTAATCAAGTAAATAATACTGTATCACTGTACGCTATATATCAAATAAACAAATCTAATATGGAATTACATTCTACCACAGTGCCCAAGTTTTACACTTAAGTAATACCCTGTTTGACAAAATCAACGTAGAACATCCCACGTAAGTGCATCGGCTCAAGTTGCCACACTTCACAGTAGTACACAAACAACAGGTCAATACGAAAAGACTGATGTTAAAGTAGACAAAGTTGTCTGAGAGAATAAACAATTTGAAGACAACGGTTACTGTGAATATTCCAGCTTCAGAAGATATCAAGCAGTGGATACATCTGGCCCCATTGTGACCGATTTTCAATTATGTCACTAAGAGTAAGTCCTCAACCACTGATTACTATCGTCTCGGGGATTCCAAAGTGTTAGTTTCCATCTCACATGGCTCACTCCAACTGTTAAAAACTTCATCAACTGTTGCCAGGTGTGGGTCTGGCCACCCTGAACCCTTTTCTATCCTAATCCAACTTCCCTCAGCATGACGCGTCGAGTAGCCGTTCGTGGATCGGTACGTGCAACACATGTCCAAGCCATCTCAGTCGAATAACGTCCTCAACCTCATCAATTGACTTGCCTGTCTTGCCTAGTATCTTTCCCCTGTCTTCAACATTGCTCACATGATGATTCCACCAGATGCTAGCAATGCTACGAAGACACCTATAGTTGGAAAACTGTAAGTGTTTCATGTCTCCTACTTTCACGGCCTTAACTCAGCCGTGCAACAGGACAGAATGGACTGCAGCTGAGTAAACTCATCCTTTGGAAGATAGCCCGATATCTCATCGACGCCACAGGTGAGGCAAGTTGGTAAATGCCAAACGGGCCTTCTGTATCCCTATTTAATCACCGTATACTTGATACTACTACTAACTACTAACTACTAGCTACCAACTACTGACTACTAACATTATTATTATTATTATTGGTCCCTTGGGTTCCTAATGGAACACAGGGCTTCAGTAGCACGTCTCCAGTGAACTCTGTTCTCTGAAATCTTTTGGACCTGGCTCCACGACAGCCCAGAAGCTCTCATTTCTTCCTCGCACGATCTCCTCCATGTCACCCTAAAAACGGACGTCCAACTCATCGCTTCCTATGGGGATTCCACTCGAGTACCTGGCCTGACGCGTTATGTCCCCAGTCGGCCTTCTCAGTGTATGCCCAATCCATCTCCACTTCCTTCTGCATATTTGTCGGGTGATAGGTACTTTGTTGGTATATTCCCAGAGTTCCTTGTTGCTTATTCTTTCTGGCCATCTGATCTTCAGTAGCGAGCCAGCGTAAGCAGTTGTTGATGAATGTCTGTAGTTTGTTGGAAATGCTTTTCGTAACTCTCCAAGTCTCTGAACCATAAAATAGATGCACTGACTTGACATTAGTGTTAAAAATCCAGATGTTGTTCCGCATGCTGAGTGCAGAAGATCTCCACACTGGTTTCAGGCTAATGAACGCCTGTCTTGCTTTTCCGATTCTGACTGGCTTTGACATCCTCGTCTGTGCCGCCGCCTGTAGTTGAGACAGTGTTTCCTTTAGACCATTATATAGAAGCCCCAAGATTGCATAATTAGGTTCATTGAAGCCTTAACTGTACAAAGTTCAACCCCCCTTTGTGTATTCAAAAACAATCTGGCCCTGACCTAAAACTTCCTTGGTAATCTTCATCACACTTTAATGCCAAGAGAGGTGTGAAAATGTATTATTCCTCCTTATTACCCTTCAATTTTCAAATCTTGTATTTCTTCATTTATTTGCCTCGCCCCATCCAATTTTTACCCTTCATATAAGATGAATTGACAAGTTGTGTGTTCAGATTGTTCGAAATGTATTGCGCGAATGCATCTAACTTCTCAGATAACCTCCGTCTTCTTATTACACGAAAGCAACCTTGTTTTGTTTCACAGTCATTGGGAAATAAAAATACCGAAATAGTGGAGTTCTCTTTTTATTATCAGAGTTCAATCGTACTAGGAGTAGATTTTCAAAAATAGTATGTTGGTAAAATCAAAATTTGATACCAGTTCATGATCACTGGTCGGAGCCTCATGGAAGTTGTAGACTTTCCTGAATAGGCTGTGAAAAAGAAGGAATCTGTGTTTAAAGGATGATGCATTTCAACAATAATTGTAGTGAATCCATTTTTCCCTGTAAACTTGCTCCTAGGGAGTAAAGTACATCGGTTGTACCCGGAAATGAAGCATACTCTAGCCTGTTTTTATCAGGATGTACTGGAATACATCAAAATTACTATTCTTAAACACATTAATGATTCTAACAACTCCACTGATTCAAACAATGATTTTAAGGTAGTTTATCGAATTTGGTTAAATATTTCACATTTTCTTCGGTTTCAACTTCTAAAAACGGGAGACCGTCCGAATATTGCTTACCTGAACTGTGATCTTTGTACACAAAAGAAGTATGCACAGTCTTTGTCTCTAACTTGGCCTAAACTTCATGCAGTCTTGTTTTTTTTCCAACTAGTCCCATTTTTTTCAGTTTAATCTCTCCACTCTTTTATCCTCCTTGTCACTATCATTTTTACATTTATTGATTTTCGGTATTACTTCACTTAGTCTTTATAATAATTACAACTCAATAAAAACAATCATTTTACCTCAATTAACCTGTCTCATTCATATAGCCTAATCTTTTGTTTGTTTATTAGTTCTACTATATTTTTGCCCCTTTGTAATGTAAATGCACCCTGAGAACGATCTAAAAATTTTAACCTATTTTGTTTTAATTCCATATCTTAGTCTTCAATTAGCAACATTATTATAACAATGATCATTATTGTTGTTTCAATGACCCATTATTTAGATTTGAATTTCCCCTTGGATCGTGGTCTTCTAGTATCATTTTAGTCTGTTTATTAGAAATATCACAGTGAAACAGTAGCATTTACTGGATAACGTTTCAGACACAATTTATTGTTCATATTCATATCAGGTAACTCCACAACTTCCAGAGAGACCTTATATATTCCTAGTTTTCTCTCCTTCTCTGTGATGACAAGGGTAGTAGAATTTTGAATATATCTGAGACAGGCGCAGAATCATTTCGATTGCATGTGTTTGGTGTTGATTCGGTAAACAAAGATTCGGTTATCAATCTCTCCCTCCACCCAACACTGTCGCCCAATCCCACCCTACTGTGTGATTGTGTGTCATCGCATGCAGAACTATAGCAGAGCTTTTCTGTAGATTTCTTATTTATTAGTATCTACTTATCTTGATTTAGCTAAGTTTTTGTGCTCTATTATTCTAATCAACCCTGGCTGGTCCGACTGCTTTGACCTATGTACTTGACCTCGCAATCATTGCAAGGGATCTGGTAAACCAGATTATTTTGCTGAATTGCATCGATAGGATCTTTTAACCTGCAAAGCTTGTTTCTAAACCGAACCATATCTTTGTAATAGAAGTAAATGTTTGAAGGGCCACCTGTTCCCAACTATCCATAAATATATCTTCGACGATAGGGGATATTGGTGATCCCATGGCAACACCGGTTTGTTTATATATATTTTATTTTTAAACTTAAAAGCTGTAGATGTTAGGCACAATCGTACTCCTAATATGATTCTCTCGATCGGCACATTAGTTCGATGCGTATGTTCTTTGTCATCTTTAAGCCCGTTTCCCATTACCTCTATAGCCATGTCAATCGGTAAATTTGTGTAAAGGCTAGTTATGTCAAAACTAACCATTTTTTTCACTGTCGTCTAAGTGTATGTCGTCCAATCTTTGCTTTAAATCATAAGAGACTTTGAGGGATTTCGTATTGGGCCTAACACCACTGCTAAATATTTAAACAACTCGTAAGTCGGAGTGTTTTTAAAATCTACTATAGGCCTGATGGGATAACCTGGCTTATGAATCTTAATAGTACCATACATTCTACTGGGATTATTAGTTTTCGGCATTAAATTCAACCTTTTTGACTCACCTAGAAATGGCTTTATCCGGCGTATCAGGTCGCCTGTCGATTTCTTATCCTTATTCATAATAGTATCCACTGTCTTCTCAATTTCTTCATATGGTCCTGTTTCTCTATGCTCGTTCACTTGGTAGGTGTAGTCAGATTTGTTCATTACAACTGTTGAGTTGCCTTTATGCGATTTGGCAATTACTATATGGTTATCATTTTGAAGGCTTCCGAGAGCTTCCCTCTCTGACTTGTGTAAATTAGATTTCATTTTCTTCTGTCCCTTTAGTGTTAGAGCACACTGTGCTCTTACCTCATCTGCAATTGTCTTATCTATTGAACTTAACTCTATTTCTACTTTGGGAATGACATCTTCTGGTTTGATGAGTTGAATAAACAGACTAAAATGAAATTAGAATCGAGCACAATGCTTAAGTTCCACTCTTATATTAACTTCTAGTATAATATTTATACGAATGCTCAACTTGAGAATAAATTCGTTGAAAGAGTTTTCTACGGTGAATTACTAGTTCCTGTTCTCCTACATTTTGCAGATATTCATCTCATGTCTTACTCTGTACTCTCTAAGGACTGAGTTACTCTCTGAACTGTAGTTCGGTTTGTAGACGTTTCGATGTCATGCTATACATCGTCAACACAATCTAACAGCATTAGTCCGTTGCATAATCATGCTTACCAATGTGTCTAGCGTGAAACTGAAGTGTTTACTAGCTGAGGCCCTATATTAGGGGTGGGTGATCCCTAAAATAACTTATTTTCGCACCTTTTTCGCTTCATGAAATGTTATTTTTACTGTGGTTCCAGGTACTAAACGCTGATTGGTCCATTTTGCGCTTTAAATATACTGTTTAGTTTTACTTTGTCAAAGCCCTTAAAGAAGTGTATGGACGACTGAACTTTTAGCAATAATCCCACTCTTTGGTTGAAGTAAATGTACCACAAATCCCATTGTCTTCTTCTTCTGATATCACCTGGGTATTATGTTGGGAAGTAATTGTTCTATTGGTAATCGTATCGCGTTGAAGCATTGTATCAGTCATATACATACACCAGAACAAAACACCCTGGTTGGGAGAATAGTTCAATTTAAACATTCATATCTTGAGCTACAAGTAGCTGTCATCATTTTGTGGGATATTATTTATCCGTTCCGTAATGCCGTTGTCATAACTAACTTTAGTTTCCCTCACTTCTTCATATGTAAAATCTGATGAGTTAGGTAGGTACGCTGTTGTGATTGTTTTTAAACTGTTTCACCTTTTTGTCTAAAGTCGGTTGATATTACTATCTTTAGTGAAAATTGCGTTATATTCGCTTCATTGCACTCAGTTTTATGTATCAAAGGTTGTTCATTTGTACTAAGTATAGCTTTGAAGAAAGGGTATAAGTGATTATTATTATCTTTTCTATACATGAACATATTTTTCCCAATTCTGTTCATATTAACTTTTGAATCTCCTTTCTCGCCAGTTAACTGGAATTATACAAGATATGGTAGAAGATCAACCGGATTTACCGACAGTACTCAAGGTTAGTATAAATGTGTGCTATACTAACAGTCTTATAAAATCAATTCGTATATTTATATTCCTTTTAGGATTATATCTACGTACCGAATTTCAATTCATTTTTTTTCGACTAGTTTATATTTCAAATGGTGAGTTTTTTCAGAACTTGTCAGTTCATGAAATAAAACTATATCTTGCGATGGTCTCAATACAATTTGGAGGTTCGTTGGAATCCACTTATTGGTTTCAGGTTGATACCTATCATGGACTGAAACCAGTTGGAGGGCCTTAGAAAACCTGGGAGCACTGGACAGATGTTTTGTCCTTGTATGAGACTCCTCAGCAGTGCGCACGCATGACACTGCCAGGAGTCGGACCCAGGACCTTCAGGTTCCGTGACCCACAAGTTATTACTGAACCACTGGGTGGGCGCTCAGTGGTCCACGTTTCCTTTTCTTCTCACTTCACAATATAGCGCGACTTTCGTCAAATAATGTAGTTTAGTACCCGTCCTCGCATCTGACGACTTCGCACTAGAACTTTAAAATCTCATCTCGAAGCAAGTCATTAATGACCATTAGAGTGATTCACTTTAAGAGCTTGTGGCGATTGAGTTATCGTAACATGTGGAACCAAGCAAGTCAGACGGGAGGGGAGTTATTCAACGACAATCGTCGATTGAGATCACGCTATATCGTGAACTGACAAAACTATGAAATATGAACCACTGGGTGCCCACCGAGTGGTTCAGTAATAACTTGTGGGTCATGGAACCTGAAGTTCGACCCTCTTCCGGGTTATGGGTGCGGACTGTTGAGAAGTCCCATACTAACATAAAACAGCTGTCCAGTGCTCCCAGGTTTTCAATGTTTCTCCAACTGATATCAGTTCATAATGAGTGTCAACCTGAGACCTCAAACTGAAAATTGAGGCGTAAACAATCAACGTTAATTGGTCTATGAAATATATAGTTACTGATTATTTGTCCAGATCCGTCCTCTTACTTTCCATATTAGTTGCCAGGCAGTTGCTTTTCGATGTTGTGATGGTAATGTGTAAAACGCTCTAATTTCATGTAAACAAATTTTAGATGACATTTTACTACGTCCAAATCACCTTAGTTATTTTCCACTGCCGCATTCAGAAACATCATAGCAGTTGGTGAATCTATCAGATATCTTTGATGTGAATTTCATAGTGTGATATAGGTGTATTTTTGTTGGTGTTCTGTCCTATGAGCTGGATGGTGTAATCATGAAGCTTTCGTTGTCATTCTAGACAAAATCATCAGCACAAACTTCGGAAGGAAGTGGGCTATAAGGTTTTCTCCACAACTTATTTAGTAGCTTGTTCTGATAGTCTTGCTTCTGCCAGTGTCTCGTCACTATCTCCATATTTATTTTGATTGATTGTCCTGATGACCTAAAATTTAACCTTCTTGTTGTTTCTTATTAGTTGATAGATTGGGTCAGTGTCCATTTATCTGTTGACTGCAGTCAGCATGCTGAGTATATTTACCATACACACCCTGGTAAACAAATAAGTTTCAACGTAGTCACAAAGAAAGAGGTGGATGAATACTAAGGAGATGGTAAAAATTCTCATTTTTCAAACTTGCCCCATTGAATATCATCATTAATTCCAAGTTAGAGTCGACAAGCGAATGCGCAGTAGAATGAAAATAATAGTAGCAACAGTTGTAGAAAGCTACGAAACAAAAAGGAAAAGAACGGAAATATTTGATCATAAGAAATTCCATCGTTTTGGTTAGATTTGATTCTTCCCACTAAACGTCTGAAATCACTGATTTCTTTGAAAAAAATTTGTTTCCTTGATAAATTTAAACAACCTAATGATAAGACGCGGACTATCTGAAATGTGTAATGTATTAGCCCTTTACATTTTGAACAATCTGATTACACATGAACTTGTCGAACAGTTTATCCGAAAACTGAGAATGGTTAGTTAAGCCATTAGAATTATAATTTAGAAAGATAATAAAGGCAGAACGGAAACACTAGAGGAAAAGAAGGCCAGATCACTATGACCAACAGTTTGAAGTGTTGAGCACAATACGACCAGGGCAGGTGTAGTGTAAGTCCAAATTGTCTTTCGATACCTAAAGAGTGTTTGGATTTATGGCCAATATGTGCTTTGATAAATCTAAGTATTCGTCCTTGACCATGTCTTTCTATTACAGAAAAGGCTGTCTTCATCTAACTCTTATGACCACTTCTAATGTATTTGTGATCGATTTTTTTTTCACCTGCACCTTATCAAACTATCGGAGGTCATTTGTTTTTGAAACCACTTAAGTACATGTTCAAGCATTCTAAACCACTGTCAGTTTTTAGATAAATTATTCGACAAGTTTATGTATGATCAGATTGTTCGAAACGCATAGCGATAATATATCACGTGTTTCAGATGGTTTCCGTCTACTTATTTCTTGGTTTCGAGAATCCCAATCAAGAGACTTACGCTTTCTCATAAGGCTCATACTAAAAGTCAAAGCTGTCATATCATAACCATAAATTTCGTACAAACAAGTTCTAATCTAGCGAACCTATTCTAATATACTAAGTAGTAACTTGGCATATCACTAACTCAGTGGATATATGTTTATAATCTTTTAAACTTAGCTGTTACTCCTAACACCATCACGCCTAACTTCACAATTTCTCCTGCGATGATTCTAACACGTTCAAGTGACACTACGAAGTTACTGGTAATCAAATACCCGTAAACTTCTTAATGGTGAGCACACTTCAGTCACTACCCCGTAAATAATACTCTGCTCATGTTTCTTTGGAATTTTTTTTTAAAAGCAATCTTTTAAACTAAATACCAAACCGTATTACTAGACGTTGTTGGCGAAATACACATTTTGCCTTCTTGTCTTATTTTGTCACAATCTATCACTTAGTCGAGAAAACGGGAGATATGAATGTTGTTTTATGAAGTGGTAACTGTGACGAGCGACATGAATAAAGAATTATGTTTACGTTCCTTCGGAATTTTATGATGGGTAATCTGTGACAGGGATCATATTTTGCCGCTTTGTTCTAATAGTCATATGTTCTTGATCAACACAAACTTCAACCGTAAGGATACAATTTGTTTCACGGCTGTTTTCCTGATGTATAATTGTGGATAAACAATTTTACTGTTAATGATACTCGTAACTAGTTTGAACATGGTAGGCATTCTTCATGAAGTACTTGCTTAGATTCTAATTCTGCTAAAGAACCAAGTCTGTGCCACCTTAGTGTAATGGACTGTCGCAGTCTCTTCATGTACGATTGCTAGATGTGAGCGTTATCTTTATATATTGGGAAGAATCTCTTCATCATTTATTGAAGCGTAGCATTGGTTCTCATCCATTGTACCCCATTTCTTATAGATATCGTGGTAAAGATATTAACCTAGATCCAGAGGTTAGTAGAAAACAATGATTCTGTATGGTCTCATATGAACTGATTAATATGAGATGTATTCCGGCTGACTGGTCATGATGAGGATGGAAAGAAGCCTAATATACTGACTAGGAATTTTCATAATGGTCGAAGCACTAGGGTAAATCATCACCATTAAGTAGTAGTTGGCAATTATTTGAACAAAGATGGCAAAGGCATTGTTTATTGGGACTGTTAATGTGAGAGATCAGTCTTTGACAATCTTTTATACTGTCCTTTGGTGAGCAGTTCAGACAGTTACGTTTAACTTACTGAGTATTCAAACGCAGCTCAATTTTTTTTGCCCTACCTTTTACAGAAATGATATGAGAAGGGAGAGACGCATATATATATATATATATATATTGGAACCTCAGGATGAGCAATATAAAAGTTATGAGTAGAGTTCTAGAAAATAAACTAGTTAGTCGATAAGTTCATAAACGTTCGCCGGATGAAATGGGTACCACATGACTCCGGCATAGCAAATCACTGTCTACAATGGTATGGACAGTCGACTGTATTTAAATTATGTTAGAAGAAAATAGAACGTACCCAGACCAAGATATGATATCTCTTTATAAGCGCTGTTTGGAAGTGTTGGTGTTGGGTTTGGTATTTGAGAGATGTTTAAAGACTGAAGACGCCTGCGTGAGATATTGTTCTAACTCACTAGTGGTAAAGTATATATATATATATATATATATATATATATATATATATATATATATATATATATATATATATTCGTCTTTCTTAAAATGTACTATATCCAAATGCTGTGCACTTATCCCTATTCTTTCAATGATCTATCTTTTTTCATCCTAATATCTTACCATCTCTTATAATTTCCAGCGCGGTATCAATTGTGATGACTTGGTTAGGTACATATTTGTAAAAGTTTCTGTTTTGTTCTGTATATCTATTTTGAGCTTACCTTTAGCATATTGAAGATACGTTTTGAAGCTATAAAATTCTGTATTCAGGGCATACAGAAGACTGTCTTTTGTATCTTCTTCGTGACTAAATGTTTTCCTTTGTGCATACTGAAATGATCGATAAACTCTTGAACGGAACGCTAATCTAAGAAGGGTTGCTTGTTGATCTCATGAGTCATTGTTGGCTTGTGAAAGGTGTCATTAATATTACTGCTGAAGTATTTTAGTTGCTTTCCTATTGTCTAGTTTCTTTTTCTCAAAAGCATACAACTATATTTGACCCAACTCACACTGCTTGACTGATCTATATTTTGCGATATGTTGTTCGTCATAACTAAGTAGTACCCTATTAGATTTGCTTATTTGATATATAAACCTCGCTCGTTAACTAGTTTACTAGTTACTAGCCGGTCCTAAGCCCGGGTAAAGAGGGAAGGTTGGGCATAGGGCTAGCAACCCTACCCCGTAAAACAAATCTAACCGCTAAAGAAACTTCAAAGCACAAACAAAATATAAAAAATGAAAACAAACTTATTCCCCGCTGGAATCGGAGAGGCGAAATGACGCCAGTTGGTGAAAGCCTTCGGGAAGCCAATTGGCCGATGTGTCTTCTCTCGATGAAAGCGAAA